CCCTTGCAACTTCTCGGGGAAATATTTTATGCAGCAACAGCGCCTCAGAGCAATTCAAATTGTTCGGGTTGTCATACTTACCTCCACAGAGTTGTAAGGCCTGGATTTTTCCTAAGGACGAAGTAAGTTATTACCCACTCGATTTACAAAACCACTCGACTAGTGTATTATAATTCTGTTTACATAATCCATACTATACAAGAATAAAACTTTTTGTGGAGTTTGTATGCTGTTACAACAACAACAAAACAGTTAAAGATTAAAAAATATTAAAAAAAAAAATTTCTGATGCCAACCGACGTTCACCTAGGTGAACGTAAAGTCCGCAGGGTTGTCACTGCTGCTGCAGCTCGCTTCGTACCAGCAGGTTGTAAAACGGACCCCCCGTCCAAATTTTCCTACTGAAGCGGCTGAGCGAGACAACCTTTATCAGGCCGATCCCGGAAATCCCGGAAAACACGGAGATTCGGCAGCTTACATAACATACACAAATGGAAAAAGTGGGAAGAGCATCTGAAGACCTGCAACTTCACCTCTGGTGTGAGTAAGCTGTGGTCAACCGTGAGGTCACTGTCCAATCCGACAAAGCGCGGCGACATAATCGAAATATCCCAGTGAATCATCGGCATAGTTTCCGTAAAGTGCACAGCACAACAACAGCACTTAACGCCATAAACACTCAGATATCAACAGGCCTAAACCGCAACCGCCCCTGTGAGAGAACAATTATAGTAGCGTTGGACCTGTTAAAGGCGTTTGATACCGTCAGTCACTCCACGCTGCTAGAAGACATACAGGCCTTCTCACTCCCACAGAGACTCAAACGGTGGTCAGCGGATTATCTGAGTGGTCGGCACTCGTCAGTAATGTGTAGAGACAAATGGAGCAAACCTAGAAAAATAAAACAGGGGTTCCACAGGATGGTGTCCTTTCCCCATTACTGTTTAACTTTTATATTTCCAAGCTCCCTCAACTCCACCAGAAGGAGTTTCGACTGTCTCTTGCGCTGACTATTGTTTGATAATGGCGTCTGGGAATGGCTTTGATGACTTGTGCTAGAAAGTAAACGGGTATCTCTCCGATCTTTCTCGCTTCTTCACTGCTAGGAGTCTAACCCTCTCCCCTACAAAATCCTCTGCGACCTTATATACCACCTGGACGAAGGTCAGACTAACGCTGTTTTCTCCACAATACATTTTTAATGGGCGAGGCACGCTCGTTATCGATCTCAAAACCAAATTTCGATTCGAGTTATGTTCGATATCGAATGCCGCGATCTGGGCCCAGATACATTTTGTTATGGTATGGTAAGTTCAATTTCGGTAATGCATTAAAATGTATTAAGATACAAAAGAAATTTATTTAACAGCAAACTTAATTTGATGAAACTTTATTTGATAAAAAATAACAATAGACCCAGAAGTATTAGAAAAGGTGGAAAGTGTCAGCTTCTTATTTAACTCTGCGATTCGTGCAGAGCAGCTATGTACGTCTGCTATCCGATGAACATACTTACAAGTTTTGTTTATAGTAGTTCCAAGTCAGGTACAATTGAAACATAAGTTTTAATTTAATATGTAATATCCTTTTCAATGTTGATAGTGAATTTATTTTTAATGAACTTGTTTAAACATTTTGCTTTTTCTAGCGAGAGGATAACTTGGTAGGTAGGTATGTATGTATAAACTCATCTATGTATTTTTATGTGTACGGTATCAGATAAAAGTGTATTAATTTTCAGTTGTGATGAAATTAGACTAATATCACAATAAATATAAAAAAATAAACTTATCTAAAAATAAAGAATTGTATACGCTATTCTTTTGGCCAATTCGGGCAAGAATTTTACCTAAACTTCAGTGTAATAATTCGCAAAAATAAGATTTCAGTTCAAGCAGCACATATTTCATATAGAAATATTTTCGAATATCAAAAAAAAAAAAAAAACAAGGGGATTGCTGGGCATTTATTGTTAATGTACAGGCAAGACTTCTTTCTACTTTATTATTTGCTTAAATAAAAGGAATAGCATTTATTGAATTGATAATACTTTAATGTCTACTTTAGGTATACATACAGATTTAAGTATGCATATGTAATTCTATAGATGCAGTGCGCAAGTGTCCCCATGAAATCAAATAAAGTTATTAGTTCTAAGATAGTATCTAACAGAACAAGACTTGGACTGGTTGCTTTGTTATGCGATGAAGGACACTGGATACTTAAAAAAAAAATACGATTTCTGCTGGCAAACGAAGTATACAAAATTCAAATCTAACCACGATTCGTTCATCTGTGCGTTGTTGTTGTATAAGCAACATCGGCTCACGGATCGCTCGGCTACAACAATCATCAACGGACGTGATTTCTCGTTTAGTTTATCTCTCTGAACTGTCTACATTGGAATGCTTATGGGGCAAAAGTCCACGCCCAATGACACCTCCTTTATAATGTAGACAGTTCAAGCCGTTGTTCGGAGATTGAGTGGGAAGTAGTATTGTGGAAAAAGGAACGCATAATAAGTTAGAAATAAGTAATAAATAATATGCCAGTGAAAAATGTTTTAGAGTGTTTGCTTTGATTTCAGCTTAAATGTAGGTAAACGCTGTACATTTTAATGCAAGCCCGAATCTATAAACCTATGAGTAATATGTACTGTTAGCAAATGCAACTATAATATAAATATGCATAAAAAATTCACATCATTTCTTTCAACATATTATCAAATGCCTTAAACTTCAGTTCAAAAATGAGTGTTGGATGCATTCCTTAGAAACAACGCATTTTTGTTGTGGAAATTAACAATTTTAAACTGTTACAATTTTTTCAATTCAATATGATAATACATGCATGAGTACTTAGCTATCCCACAGATATTTTATACTTACAAAATACAACAACTGATAGATATAGCTGATGAAAGCCAGTGGTTTATATTAATAACTTAAGTCTAACCAAATGTAAACTAAGAAAATGTTGCCTTCACCAATCAAACTATAAACTGTGTAACAGACAGAACTTTTTGAGTGACCTAGTACACGTCGTTGTTCTGGTCAAATTATTCACGAAACTATGTTTAAATTTTTCAAACACCCTGAAATTCTCAACTTCTTAATAAAAAAAATAAAATAAAATAAAAAAATAATTGCATAACCTGCCTGGGTATTCATTTTGGGTTTGAAAATTCAATTGCTTCGTTTTTATTCATAAGGTCCCATATTTCGAACAAAAAAGCATTCAGTTTTGTTAAGACGTGTATGACACAATCGCTCTTGACTGAACAATATTTGCCTTTTCTATATGGAGTTATGAAAAAGTTGATTTGCTTTCTTGTAATAAACATCGAGAGCTTTCTCATGAAGCATTTGATAAAAGGACGTGAGAAAAATGCCAAAATGTTTGAGATTAATTTAAAAAATTCTTCACATTTTTACTAAGAGACTTGCTGAACTTCTTTTTTAACTTAGCTTAGCAAATAAGTCTAAAATTAGTAGTGTAAAAGTGGCAAATTTTAAACGACAGTTTTTTTAATTACTCGGTCACTTAAAAAGCTCGTACACTCTTCTTAATTTTGTTACACCGCGTCTATGGATATTCATACATGCACTTGTAATTATTATGTGAACAAAACTTGTGCATAGTTGATTTTTCATATCAAAACACACAAATTTTGGATATACAGTTCTTCTTTGTTGAAGTTTTTGTTTTTTCTAATACACTTTATTATGCTTACGTTAAGACGGTTTAGATTAATTTCACTACTTTTCTTGACTTGATTTCGAGATAAATGTATGTCTATAGGTATGTAAGTTCGCATTTTATGTATGTAGCTTACTAGGAATTACAATGAAGCACACTAAGTTACAACATATATATTTTAGTGAATTTGAGTTTTCATATATAGCTTGCAAAATTTAGATGTGTTTGCCTAATTCATATTGTTAATAAAGGATGTTTGTGTTTATCTGTTTTGTGTGGGTATGAAAGTGTACACATGTATTTAGTATGTATAACAGGGTCGGGATGGTAAACGCTGTTTTGAAAATCCGTTTCACCTCAGATTTCTTATGGGCTCCTCTTCATTTATTCAGGAGAAATGGCAAATTGCATTTATGTATGTATGTGCAACTAGATGTGAGACTAGTTCGTTTTAGATTCGACTTTTCATTTGTTTTTGGCAACTTCTGCTTTGATAACTGNTGTTTTGTGTGGGTATGAAAGTGTACACATGTATTTAGTATGTATAACAGGGTCGGGATGGTAAACGCTGTTTTGAAAATCCGTTTCACCTCAGATTTCTTATGGGCTCGTCTTCATTTATTCAGCAGAAATGGCAAATTGTATTTATGTATGTATGTGCAACTAGATGTGAGACTAGTTCGTTTTAGATTCGACTTTTCATTTGTTTTTGGCAACTTCTGCTTTGATAACTGAGTTTATAACTTTTGGTATCACTACTGTAACCTTTATGTTATTAACCGCATACCTTGAATGTGCACGCATTTGCATGGATGTACATATGTACATACATACATATGTATGTATGTATAAAATGTATATACGTATACGCGTACACCATCGGCATCGTTGGGTTGACATTGAAGGACATTTTGCCTTTTTAAACAAACTTTATAAAATCAATAGTTTTAGTTGGGCATTTATAAATAATAACGAGGATGTAAACTCTAAAATAGTTGGAAATTCAATATGCATAATGGCATTTCCATAAGCTAATAAAATTAAAGGAAAATAATNGTTATTAACCGCATACCTTGAATGTGCACGCATTTGCATGGATGTACATACATACATACATATGTATGTATGTATAAAATGTATATACGTATATGCGTACACCATCGGCATCGTTGGGTTGACATTGAAGGACATTTTGTCTTTTTAAACAAACTTTATAAAATCAATGGTTTTAGTTGGGCATTTATAAATAATAACGAGGATGTAAACTCTAAAATAGTTCGAAATTCAATAAGGAAAATAAAAAAATTAAAAGAAGATTAGGCGTAAGTTTTAATGTATGGCATGTCTTTCTCAAAACGCCTTTTATCTTTGAGTTTCGTCCTGAATTTCATTTATACCTTCCTTGCAGTTCGTTCATTCAGTTTAATTACACATTAAAATATAGTATAAAAATTACTATATTCGCGTTATAAACATAGATATAGATAAATTCATAAGTCTATTTGAGCTCATGTGTCTTAAAGACGTGTCTGTCGGCCGTATTTTCTATCTACGATCTATTTTTTGAATGTGGTGCGAAAGAAAATTAAATGCTGACTTAGGGGAATAGTATAAAAAACTTCTAAAAAACCAAAGACAAATGCGTGTCGTAAGACTAGTAAAATGTTATGATTTAAAACTTGTCAGCTTTATAATGTTATTACAATTACACAAAACAGTTTTCTTAGTTTCCTAACGTCTTACTTAAATATTTGGTTTCATTTTAATAACTTTCAGATTTTGAATAATTACACCAAATCATTTGCATAAATGTATAATTCCTATTGCACTCGAAAGCCGCCATTTAATTAATCTAAAGCACCAGATACTTTTCAAAAGCTACTTGTTATTGTGTATAGCAAGATTCATAAAAATACGAAATTACGCGGATGGTTTGTCTTTTTTGTCCATCACTGTGCTAGCTCAGCGCAAATCCATCTGCGGACCGACATCGTCATAATATCCTATTAAATAGTAGTAGTAGTAGCAAATATCGACAGTTGTAAAATCAACTTATTTTTCTTAACAAAATATTAACTCATAAAGATTTGAATTTAACACTAATTTGTTGCTCTTCTTGTTTTCGGAAAACAAGATATATTACTAACAAATAATAAAAAGCTCTTTGTAAATCTTTCATTGCAGCTTTGTTATAAAAAATTAAAACTAATTTTAAAATAATAACATTAAAAATAAATGTGTCGAAAATATATTTATCTACACTTTTGACTTTCAAATAATTCGAGGAATATCGTAGAGGATACCCAAAATTCGTACGACCCGGATGCTTGGTGTACAGCACATTCTCAATTATCCTAGCAGTAGTATTTGAAATCACAAAGGTTACACACGTGGAGCTTAAATTCATAATGCACTCAGCCGGATGATGGAGCTCAGGTGCGAATACGGAAATGAAATCGGATTTAAGGTAGCATTCGCAGTGCGACAAAAAACCCTGATATTCTGTAGTTTTGGGGGAACCAATCAAATTTTTTACAACTCCTCTTATGGGGTGCAAATAAGCCTTTAATAGCCATAGTGGTGATACTATCGCAATTAAATTGGTTCTAAGCGTTGATTTTGTTGTTGTAGTTTGATAAGTTCTTTGCACATGTGTTAAGAATTTGTTTCTTGTGACAGTTTGCTTTGTTCGGTTTTGGGTAGGTGGTCGTGATTTTAGTGTTTTTTGTAGTGCTGTTACATTCGTCTGTGCAAATATTGGTGATATAGTATTAATATTTAGTTTAAAGTTTTCAAATATCAAATGGTGAAGTAAACGTTGAAGCTTCTTTTTGTTATTTTTTAACCACAGTTGCTGTTGTTGTGATGCTAGCAGTTGCAACTTTATAAAATACTTATAGCATGATTTAAGCAACTTTAGTTACGGTTGAAGTTGCTTTTTTGGTTTTTTTAACTCAGCTTCCTCGTCGCGCTTGATTTCAGTGTAACGCTCGCCCTTTAAAGAAACAATCTTATTATCCCGATAGCGAACCAATTTTTTCGGTTCGAATTTTGGTACCATCGGCTTGTATTCCCGCTGAGTTGCGTTTTTGTCTACGTATGAGTATCTGCAGATAAAGAATAGCGATTTAAATCAAAATGTTGTCTTAATAGTTATATTTAATTGGCAATTCACCTCTCAATAATACGATTTTTGAGCTCTGCGTCGTCCACAACAATACTTTTTCGTCCAGAAATAGAAATAGACTTGTCGGTTAGACTTTGGCCAGTCTCTTGACGATGTAACAAAATTTGAGTTGCGCTATCAATATCTCCTTTAGCTATAGCAATGCAATGTTTCACCTAAGCAAATTTTGATATAAGGGAAAATGTAATTAGCAATTGAAAAAGTTTAAATACGGCAAAATAAAAAAATTAAGGCCCGTCCACATAGAACTTTGGCGTTGCTTTGGCGTTGGCGTCGCTTCAATAGCTGACTATGAATACAAGCATGCAAATGCAACTGTCCACATAGCCAAAATTCCATGAACAAATTATATCAGATCACATAAGAAGGAGAGTAGCCATTTGTAATCGCAGTTAGGAAACAACAACTGTTTGTTGTTTACTTCTTACAACAAACAGAGCTAGAAAATAATTTGTTTCTTTCTTTAATTTTTACGTGATCTTGTGTCTTTCGTTCGTGCCAAACTTCGGCAACGCTAACGCCAACACAAAGCAGAAAGATGGCCAGTCGTCAGCTGTTGCAAATAAATAAAACTATGTGAAATATTTTTCCTTATCTATCGCTAGTATGTTAATTTAGTCACCAAAGCGTTCGCTGCCAAGCGTTTATTGTAGTAAGCATACTTTTAACGGGCGTTCTGTCAACCAAAGCCAACGCGAGAGTTCTATGTGGACCGGACTTTAAGGTAGCCTCAAAGGGATGCGATACTACCGATGCGGTACAAATATTTACGGTACAGATACGGAATACTTAATGTGACCAACCGCACTTCTTTCAGAAGTTCAGTACTTCTTCTTTAGCTCTTCGTACTTCGAAGTACAGTCAAATGTACTTGTTTGCAAAATTTGGTCTTCAGGTCATGTACTTCTCCGATCTTCCGGACGATCGTCACATGGCCCGGGCGATAAATTCTTTCAAACCCTTCAAGTCGCCGGGGGCCAATGGCATCATACCTTTGCACCCGAAAAGAGCTCTAGAGGTGTCTGGCAATTGGTTGGCTCCTATTTATGCGAACTGCATGAGGACCGGGTACATCCCCAAGGCTTGGAGGGTAGTCAGTGTTGCGCTCATCCCGAAGGCCAGGAAAGGCTCTCATGTTTCCCGCAGAGATTTTAGGTCTATCAGTCTGTCTTCATTTTTTGCTAAAAACGCAGGAGAGACTGATAGACCTGTACATAAGAAACGCGATTCCTCGTGACTATATTTCAAGAGCCCAACATGCTTATTGAGAGGAAATAGTCAAGTATATTCTTAATCTGGGGGTTGAAACCAATCTAATAAGGCTTATCTACAGCTTACTCCGTGGCAGAACTGTCGCGGCGGAGTGGAAGAACACATGCATTCAGCACAGAGTCAATAGGGGCACTCCGAAAGGTGGTGTTCTCTTTTCCCTGCTCTGGATTGCAGTTGTATATTACCTGGTAGAGGAACTGGAAAACGTGCGCTGTCGGGTGATCGCCTATGTAGATGATGTGGAACTTTTGGTTAAGGAACGATTTCTATACACCCTTTTTGATCTGGCTCAAGGTTACCTGTACCAGGTAACTAGTTGGGCGATCCACGGCAAGACAGAACTGGTCTTGTTTGACCCGATGTGCAAGATACCCGTTGTTGCCCTTCCCTCGTGTGGGGGTGTTCGTCTACGGCTCTCAGATAGGGTCAAGTACTTAGGCTTGATCCTGGATAGTAACCAGTCGTGAAAGCCTAACATTGAGGAAATGTTAAGAAAGGCGTCAGTTGCCTTGTATTGCTGTAGGGGAGCTATCAGTAAAAAGTGAGGTCTCTCGCCTAAAATAATTCATTAGCTCTATGAAACCAGATTTAAACCTATCTTGTTTCACGGAGCCCTTATCGGATGGATCTCACTAGAAAAGGCTAAACTTGTAAAACAACTGGAGCGTTTACAGCGGATCATTAGAAACCACACCGAGACTGGCGCCTCACGACGAAGCTCACGTCCCTCTACTCGACCATGACGAGGTGAGATCAGCAATAAGACGGCTTAAGAACAACAAGGCCCCCGGAGCTGACGGTATTCTGACTGAGCTGTTCAAAGCTGGTGGCGAAGAGTTGGAGGGGCGCATGTACCAGCGTTTAAGCAGAATTTAGTCTGATGAATACATGCCCGAAAACTGGAATTTCAGTGTACTTTGTTCAATCCTCAAGAAAGGAGATCCCGCCGCATGCGACAACTATCGCGGAATAAGCCTTCTCAATATTGCTTACAAGCTCCAGTCGACGATACTCCGTCCAAATTGGGAACGACCTCTCCTCGCTGTTTGAGACCAAACGATATTTTAGACACTGCGCCTCTGCCCCACCGGTTCATTTTCCTTTTAATCCTCACTATCGTGCGACCTTTTCAACCTGATGCTGTAAAAAGTAATAAGAGATGCCAATCTGAATCGCAGCAGCACCATATATAGCAAAAAAAGGACGTTGCTGGCGTAAGCAGATGATATCGACATCGTCGGTCTGAAGCAGGAGACCAAGCGAACAAGTACTACTATGGGCTCGGTAGACAATTGAAAAGCAGAGACCTCTCTCGACGAACAAAAATTACGCCCTACAACTCTCCCGTCATGCTATATTGCACAGAAACGTGGACGATATAGAGCAAAGATGGGAAGGTTTTGGGTGCTTTCGAGAGAACTATTCTACGTAAGATCTACGGCCTTTTCGCGTGGACGACGGGTATAGGAGAAGATGTAATGACGGACTGTATGAGCTTTTTAACAGCATGGACATAGTTAAGCACATAAAAATATAGCGATTGCACTGGCTGGGATATGTTATACGCATGGATGACGGCACTCTGTTTAAAAGATCCTTCGACTCCGCACCCATGGGTGGACAACGAAAGCAAGGGCGCCCACGAAAATAAAGGTGGACCAGGTGCAGAAGGACCTGTCTGCACTCGGGATGAGCAACTGGCGCAAATTCGTACGAGAGGCAATTGCAGAAGCTTTTTGGTGTCGGCCCACACCGACACACGGTTGTAGTGCCAAATAAGAAGTTGCCGACAACGTCGTCTTTGACCCAGAGGCTGCCGGCTAGTGACTTGAAGACCTTGTTGCGGCTCTGTACCTCTATTGGCAATTGCAGTTGTATGCTCAGAGAAGGAGAGTAGACTATCGAAGGTAACTTCGAGGATTTTTGGGTCATTCCCCGCGGAATTTGTTCGCCATCGACGTGAATTCCAGGTCCAGGTGGTAAAAAGAGTTACCGAGGATTTCGTAGGGTAGAGGGTTAGGATCCCTGCAGTGGCGAAGCTAGAAAGTTCGGTGGTATCCGTTTACTTTCGAACACAAATCAATTTCATTCCCGGACGCCATTATCGAGCAGTCGAGCTTTGAAATGTAGTAATTAAACAGCAGCGGGGAAAGGACACCCCCTGTTTAATTTTCCCCGGCCTGCTGGTTTTTTCCCTAAAAATTACTGATGAATGTCGACCACCTGTCTGTCTGGAAGACAAGCTTTCACAAAAATTGTAAACTTGTAAACAAAATTTTTTAGAATTCTTTTGAGTATGCAGTTTTTTAGCTCACTTTCGGTATAATAAAGTGCAAGTTTTAAGTGGCTATAATCTACCATTGATTTTTGCGAATTTTTTTACTTATATTTCGGTATTTTTCCCCACACAAAAAAAAAAAAAAAACTATCACGCATGCGTCACCAGTAAAAAGAAAAACTCAAAAATCAACGGTAGTTTATAGCCACTTAAAACTTGTACTTTAATCATGATACAAAAAAAGAAGGTAGTTTCACTTTGAAATTTTTTGACATAAACTGGATTATGATGCTTATACTTTTCGTAAATTGCTCAAGTAGCACTGTCACATCAACAAATTATTATTGTTTTGGAAATTTTAATATTTTTTTAAGGATTTTTTTTTTTTGCATTGAAAAATAATAACACGCTAGGTAAATTTACTTATTTCATCGCATTATCAGAGCTGTTAGTAAGTGTGTATTGATTTAAAATACCTTAAGGTATCTTACCGCAAAAAAAAATTGGTATTATCTGCAGTGTTACCTGAAATATTATTATATCCGACCGTTTAAGAAACTTATATATTAGGATGTTGCTTTAATTTGGGACCTCTTTAGTTGAAATGGAGTGGTTAAAAGGAGCTTACCGTCAATGAAAGCACCATGGAAGCATAAACTTATTTGTTATAACGTATGATGTAGTCATCATAATTCTTAGAGCTCTTTGTTATAGTTTATGGACAGATAAACTCATTCGCTCTACTGCTGCTGGAGCCGCGTTCCGCTTTGGTTGGGCACATCCGTTCCGCGTATGTGAGGTTGCATAAATTATTTTCTAGAGTAAAAACACTCATATTTCAAAATTGTTCTCTTTTTTATAAAGCAATAGCTTTTCTGGCTAGTATATTTCAGCACGAATGGATAAGGATTGAGCCAGGAGCTTGTGTGAGCAAATCCAATTTTTGGCAGCAAATGTCAGTTACTCGGTTTTGCAGAATGACGATAGGCGGTTTTGTACTTTAAACGATGAAATAAGATTCTCTACATGCATTTTATATTTAATTTTAGAAATAAATCACTAAAAGCCGGCTGTGCAATGATGCTCAAAATATATTTTTAAATAATTTTTTTTAATATTTTTTTTTTTTAAGTAAAAAACGACTTTTTTAATTTCTTTAAAGAATATGTTAGCTTCAATTTAAAGGAATATGTGATAAGCACAGTTTACTTCAAATGAGAGCAATGGCGGGTAAGAAGAAGAAATTAAACTACCTTTAAATATTTGTATCATGTACTTTAATATACTGAAATTGAGTGGACTTCAAAACTAGATACTCAAAAAAAATTCTAAAAAATTTTGTTTAAAAGTTGAAAATTTTGGTGAAAATTTGTCGAATTTTCCTACATTTTGTAAAAACTTTGAAGCATTAATTTATATGCCATTTGATGCAGAATGAACTATATTTCTATTAAAAATTAACGAAAAAATTTATTACGAAAAACATTGCAAATATTAAAAAAAAAAAAACACTGTACGGAAACATATTCTGGTAAGTGTATATCTTAAAATGTAGGGAGATTTGAAATGTGAATAAATATTTGCCTGATCCGGTCGTTTTTGCAA